CACAAGCACTGAACTCAATAAAGATAAGAAATTAACTCCGACCGGTTCGCAAACATATCAGGCTTAAACTAACAATGGCAAGTGGGAAGAAGTGGACGTGTCAGTAAGATTAAGACGAGAGAGGGCGGTGGAGCGGGCACTGCGAGGGTAAGAAATCACATATTACTCATCAGAGGGGAAGGTTCCGAGAAGGCCTAGGATATTTTTGCTATAAATAAGCACGTTTATCGTTTAACGCATATTTAACGTTTCTCTCAGTTTTTATTTTCTTTGCTTTACGCTTGTAAAAGAAAAAAAAAAAAAAAAAAAACTTTGTGCGGCAGGCGCGGATAATCCGCTCGCGGATAATCGGGAGTCTACTGTACCTTATTTGTAAAAAGATGTGAAGAAATAATGCTCGTTGGAAAGTCCAATCAGAAGGAAAAAAAAAAAAAAAAAAAAAAAAATAAAAGTTATTTCAGAAATAAGGACATCCAAAATTTAAAAAAAAAAGCAATTAAAAAAATTTAAACACGCCGATTTTTTTTTTTAGTCCAAAGGGATTTGAATCCCGAAGGACTATTAGTTTCGTTTTGGCATTTTGCGTCGGACTCATAAATGTCGGTTCACTTTTCAAACTGTTGCCATAAAATGTTAGAGTCCTGCATTATATTTGAAGAAAAATTAAATAATGAAAATCTGCGTAAATGTATGTATATTTCTCGCATTGTCATAAAATAACGGTACATAGAGTCCATCGAATTTTGAATAACGTAATCCTCCAACGAATATGAGCATGTGGAAGACCAAATTTGAAATTTGAAATTTGTTTTATGATCGATTTCCTATTTTTTAAAACTTTGACGAATTTTTGATTAACAAACTCAAGGATTTCAAAGCGAGCAATGGCAACGTTGTGCAGAAAAAACATTTTTATCTCCAGCGCGTGAGTCTCTGTATCGGAAATTCTAAAGATATGCTCGTTTTAAAACTATTTTGCGATATTGCTGTTGCACTGGATCTTATGGTTTAAGTGCGAGGAACATGATATTTAATAAAGAAAGGTAACACACAAAATGTTAAAAAAACGCCCCTTTGGACGTAATTTAAAATCTGAAACATTTCAGATTTTTTTTTTTTGTTTTTTCCCTACAGTGTGCCTTGCTCGCTAAAATCGTGATTGAATAAAATCTTATGCTGCAATATGAACAGTAGAAACAATTTAATTGGCTCCGAGCCAATTCGGTGAACGACTATCAAATGGAGGCTCTGTACCGTGTTTTACACAATGCAGAACATAATACATTTATGCACATTCTTCATTATTTAATTTCTTTTAAAATAATACAGGGCTCTAATATTTGGTGGCAACAATTTAACGCAAAATGCCAAAACGAAATTCATACCCATATAGACAAATTGTCTCTCTGGGCTAATAAATAAACTCAAGAAGAAAAACTATTTTGAAAATGGGTTGAACGTTGTATCAGGGATATCGCCCTTTTGAGAAAATCTAACGTTTCTAAAAGTCTTAAGGGGGGGGGGAGTTCAGAAACACCCTTAAAGGCATATCATATATATGATTTTTTATTTCCTTTTATGCTAAAGCAAAACACTCAAAAATTTATTCACTAATTTTAATTTAATTAAATTAATTAATTAATTAATTTTTATTTATTTATTTTTAATGTTTCCATTGGATACTATACATCAGTGATCCATTTTAATGTTATTTTTAATGCTTCAATACTATACATCAGTGATCCCTAATGTTCGTATTCTGAAGCCAAGTTAAAGCATTGCAGATGTAAACGAATCTTAGGATTTTATTACCATGTAATTTTTATTTGCGTTGAATACTTTAAGAATACACAAAGTAAACGTTTAATTAAAAAAAATTAAAGAGAATTTTAAGTAAATTTGAAAATTTACAATTTTCAGAAATTTTAAGCGTATGATTTCATATAATTTCAGTTTACAACACACTATTTAGTTCTCTTATTTCAGCTCTTTGAAAAAAAAATCCTTTGTATCACAGCTGATGCATTTAGTGACGATGCTGATGAACTAGATACAAATCCTGCTCTGTCCAGGGTAATCCCGGACGTCTGATAAGCTTATTTATGAAAGATAGGATCTAAGAAATAAAATTCGAGAATCGTTGCTAAAACGATTTGCTCTTTTGCTCTCAAGTTCCACACATATTTTGAAAGCTTTCAAAAGATAACACCTTTTCCCCAAATTACAGAAATAAAAAGTTTAATTTTTAGTGAAAAGAAATTTTTAATTACTGAAGTAAACTTAGTTATCAATGGCATTTATTTTTCATACCTTTTATGATAATGTTTCGGCTGACATCGACAAAATACTACATAAAAAAAAAAAAAAAAAAAAAAAAAAAAAGTGTTATTGCAGTCATACTTTCATCGATTTTCGAGAGAATTCTTCAGATGGCAGCACTATCGCTTCTCTCGTAGTTTCCAGAAGCATCCGGAGATTTCCAAAGCTGCATACTATAGGAAAATAATATAATTTTATATTTTATTTTTAAATATTTCGATTCAGTGGTATTAATAAATAAAAATTTTTTTATGATACTACTATTATGTGTTCAAAAGAAGATGCATCTAAGAAAATAAATACATAATTTACACTACACGATCACCATAGTTCATGATATATTCTTAACTTCCTTAGAAGTTAATATGCTTTAACTCATTTTGAAAACTTTTCCTATGAATTTTTTACTGTAACATACTCGCAATTTTAAGAAACATGATAGTCTCTGAGGCTAATTTTTTTTTTTTTTTTAAAATAGTATAGATTTACAGTTCCTATTTTTCATCTTATTTGAAGAAAATATATTTTAAGTATTTAAAATGACTATGAAGAAAAGCGAAATAATGATAATTATTATTATTTAAAAGTATAATCTTGCTAGTTTTGCTTATGAGTGAAAAGACAGTTTTAAAATAATCAGAGATTTCTTAACACTAATTGTACGGAAACATTACGGGCATGAAATTTTATTGAGCATATCTTACTAGGCAGAAGAATGTGTATTGGTGGATATAAAGAAATAATGCATGTATTTACAAAAATGTTAATAAAATGTATATATATTTTTTATTTAACCTAAAGATATTTTTATTCCCAAACATACATGTTTTACTATTTTTGCTAAGTCTTGCATGAAAACTTAATTTGAAACTTAAAAGATCAAACTGGTGGACTAATAATAAAATGTATATATTTTTAAATAAAATGTATATATATATATTTTATTTAATTTAAAGGAATTTTATTTTCAAACATAAATGTTTTACTATTTTTGCTAAAGTCTTGCATGAAAACTTAATTTGAAACTTATAAGATCAAACTGGTAGACTAATATGAATTTGTTTGAAATTTTAACATGTTTTAAAATGTTTGAAATTTTAAATAAAATAATTCCACCTTCACTATTAAGATTTAAGGTGGAATTATTTCAAATGAAAAATTCATTGAAATTGCTTTCATTAGGTTTAGTTCGGTAGATAGCTCTCCAGTGTTTTGCTATAATTAGATAAAACCAAACTTAAAAATGAATGAATGAAAAACGTTGAATGTACATAAATAACCTAAAAAAAAAAAAAAAAAAAATACATGTAAAATCGAGCTATTCTAATTTTTTTTTTTTTTTTTAACATGAGAGATTTAATGTACAATTCTGAAGAGGCAGACGTTTTTCAGAAGTAATGGGAAATGGATTTTAGCTGAAATTATTCATAACAGTAATCACAAGTTTGATTTTTGATGTCTACAGATAGACAAAAATTTTTAGGCCAAGTTCCATAAACTTCTTTTATTAACTAAATAAGTGTTAATAAAACGTAGCATCGAAAAGTATCAGAGAATTATAAAGAAATACATATTTTAATGGGTCACTTTCATACACTGATAAGCAATGCACTGCTATAAATTAGAAGATAAATATCTTTTAAATTAGATAAGTAAATAGATCTTACAACGCTTTCACTGATAACAACTTTTCCCTTTTTTCCGGGACAAATGCAAAACTTTCTTCATAAGTACACAAAAGCATTTTCTTAAGAAATTAAAATTTAAAAAATATCTCGATAAATGTTATCAGTTAAAGTATTATTTATAAATCTATGAAGAGATGAAGTACATTTGTGTTGAAACCGTCGGTTAAAAAAAAAAAAAAAAAAAAAAAAAACAGGAACAGTTTTGAAGTGCGTTTAAGATTACTAATTTATTTTAGAACTAACAAATTTAAGACTTTAATTTTTAAAAAATAAAACTCTTTTTTTTTTTTTTTTTTTTTTTTTTTTTTCCTTTCAGATTATGATGCTCTGTGGATCAGGGATATTGCTGTTTTTTTTTTTAAACTAATATTTATAAACGTTTTAAAATCTTTTGAACTGAGAACATCTTGGTTCTTCAACTTTCTAAATGTCATTTAATGATTTAAATGTTGTCATATTTTACATTTTAGTATATGTGTCTGAGCATGTATTTTCTTTAATAATGCCTGACTACAAAAAGCAAATAACTTATAGTACTATTATATATATGCAATATACATTTCTAACAAAAATTCGCATTTGTATTTAATCTTTGATATTAATTCTCCTGGACATCATTAAATGATTTAAACATCATGTCATATTTTTAATTTTATTCTACTTCTATGAAATTACTTGCAGCACGTATTTTCTTAAATAATCGCTGACAATAGACAGCAAGTAGCTTACACTAATATTATACATATGCAATATACACTTCTAACAAAAATTAGCAATTGCATTTAATCTTTGAAATTAATTCTTTGATCAGTTTCATGGAATATTTCAGTCGATATACAAAAATTAAAAAAATATTCTATTGAGAAGGTTCAACTTCCTTAATTGTAACCTAGATGGCAGCACTACCGTGTAGAAATGTCTGGAACTTTCTAGTTGTAGTTGCAGTATGATTTGTGACGTCATTCCTGAGAAATTGCGAGACGTTTCGAGAACATTACCCAGAATATAAATATGACTGCTACAATGGCGGAGTTTCAGATTTGTCACATTACTTCAAAGCGAATTGCGTTGATCTGTAGTGATTACTCACTGCGGTTAATTTTTACTGAGCTTTGTGAGCTTTGCTTTAGTGGAATACAAAGCGCTGAATTTTATTTCTGTGTGAAGTGAACGACAGAAAGTATGCCGAGTGGAAAAGCGCCAGCTATTGGTATTGACTTAGGTACCACATATTCATGTGTCGGTGTTTTCCAGCATGGGAGCGTAGAAATCATCGCTAATGATCAAGGAAATCGTACAACGCCGAGTTATGTAGCCTTTACTGAGACCGAGAGACTGATTGGAGATCCGGCAAAATCGCAGGTTGCTTTGAATCCCGAAAATACTGTCTTCGACGCCAAAAGACTCATCGGGAGGAAGTTTGATGACCCCAAAATCCAACAAGATATGAAGAACTGGCCTTTTAAGGTAGTAAGTGAAGGCGGCAAACCGAAGATATGTGTGGAATTCAAGGGCGAGCAAAAACGCTTTAATCCTGAGGAAATAAGTGCAATGGTATTGACTAAAATGAAAGAAACTGCTGAGATGTACTTAGGACTTAAAGTAACAGATGCTGTAATCACAGTTCCTGCATATTTTAATGACTCACAAAGACAAGCAACAAAGGATGCAGGTAAAATTGCTGGACTAAATGTATTAAGAATCATCAATGAACCAACTGCAGCAGCCCTGGCATATGGTCTGGACAAGAACCTGCGAGGTGAAAAGAATGTACTGATTTTTGATTTGGGTGGTGGCACATTTGATGTGTCAATCCTAACCATTGATGAAGGATCCTTGTTTGAAGTAAGATCTACAGCTGGCGATACTCACCTAGGAGGAGAAGATTTTGATAACAGAATGGTGGCTCATTTCATCGAAGAATTTAAACGCAAACATCGTAAAGACCTACGTTCCAGTCCAAGAGCACTCAGGAGGCTTCGGACTGCATGTGAAAGAGCCAAGAGGACTCTCTCCAGTAGCACAGAGGCCAGTATTGAAATAGATGCTCTCTTTGAAGGCATAGACTTTTATTCAAAGATAACTAGAGCGAGATTTGAGGAGTTATGCATGGATCTGTTCCGATCTACTCTTGAACCAGTTGAGCGAGCCCTGAAAGATGCAAAATTGGACAAAAGCAGCATCCATGATGTCGTTCTGGTTGGTGGTTCAACACGTATTCCCAAAATACAGAAGTTGCTGAAAGACTTTTTCCACGGAAAAGAACTGTGCATGTCTATCAATCCTGATGAAGCTGTAGCCTATGGAGCAGCAGTTCAAGCTGCTGTTCTTACTGGAAGCACAGATGAGAAGATCAGAGATGTACTATTAGTGGATGTAGCTCCTTTGTCATTAGGTATTGAAACAGCAGGTGGTGTTATGACCAAAATCATTGAGAGAAATTCACGCATTCCATGCAAGACATCACAAGTATTTTCAACTTATTCGGATAACCAGCCTGGTGTGGACATTCAAGTTTATGAAGGGGAAAGAGCAATGACCAAAGACAACCACTTGCTTGGAAGGTTCGAGTTAATGGGAATACCTCCTGCTCCCAGAGGGGTTCCGCAGATTGAAGTGACATTTGATCTGGATGCCAATGGAATCTTAAAAGTATCTGCAGTAGATAAAAGCTCCGGGAAATCGCAGAGCATCCGTATTACAAATGATAAAGGTCGTCTGACCAAAGAAGAAATAGAGAGAATGCTGCAAGAGGCCAAACAATATGAGAAAGAGGATGCAGAACAACGAGAAAGAGTAGCATCACGTAATGCACTTGAAAGTTATGTGTATAGTGTGAAACAAGCAGCAGACTCTGCATCAGATGACAAACTTTCTTCAGCAGACAAAGCCAAGGTTAAGCAGACATGCGATTCCGTAATTCAATGGTTGGACAATAATACACTTGCTGAGAAAGATGAAATAGAGCATAAAATGAGAGAAGTCCAATCTGAGTTATCTCCTCTCATGACAAAACTGCATCAGGGATCTGGTGTTAATGCCAACCAAGGACCAAATGCAACTGCTAGTACGGGACCAACGATTGAAGAAGTTGATTAACGTAGGACTTAATTGTAAGACATCATTATTTATTATTGTAAATACATGTTATCAAGCATATGTTAATTTGCATCATGAACTAATATTGTATAGATGTAAATTGTACATATTTTCTTTAAGAACAGAATAAAGTAAGTTATTTTTACTTCTGTTTAATTTTTTTAGTACTTTTTTTATAATATTTTTATATTGAAAAATGACTAAAGGAGTTTTGTATTGAGGATTAAACTATTAAAGAGTGATATACTAGCATATCAAGTGTTTTGATGATTAAACTGTGAAAGACTGGTAGACTACCAAGTAAGTATGATTACTTAGAAGGAAGTGTTATATTTATGTTTTATTTTTAAATGTAATGAACTGTGGAAAGTTTGTGTTATATTAAGTTGTAACAGAGTTAAATAAGTTAGACTTTCATATGAGGTTTGGTTCATGTGTTTCACTGTGTAGATTAATATTTTTAGTTAAATCCAAGAATATTTTTTGAAATTGATTTTTAAAATTTTTTCTATAGAAATTGTTCTTTAGCTGAAATCTAAAGATTGAGAGTAAGAAACAATGAGCAACCTTGTTTGGGAGCAGTTACGAATTTTTTGTGGTAATTATTTAATATATTAAGTAGCATTAATTAATGCATGTTAGATATGGGAGCAGTTATGAATTTTTTGTGGTAATTATTTAATATATTAAGTAGCATTAATTAATGCATGTTAGATATTAAGAGTTTCATATTTTGATAAATGCTATTTCTACAATTAATTGTAAGATTGGATTTAATGAAGCTGAAATAATAATGGCTAGTGGATTAAAGTAATGATTAAATATATCAAGCAGTTCGAAAAGGCAAAGTAAATATTTTCACTGTGGCTCATAATGTTTAAGGGTATTGTGGTTGTGGTCAGTTTACTGGTTATCAATATTTTTGTATTTATTTGCAAATATAATAATAAATGGAACTACAGTTTAAATTTTTCACTCTGGAACATGTGTTACTGTTTAAGAAATTAATTCAGTAATAAGCTGTACAATTTGATTGTTTTTTTCATTTGTAACTACATTATGGTATTAACATAGTCAGGACTTTTATTTAATTTTTGCTGTAGTGGACTTTTGTTAGTCATATAGAAATTGATCCTTAAGGAAGTTCTCAGTTTTGAGGAAGTTATTTATTCACTGTCTTAATCAAATAATACGTCTAATATAGCGAAGCATGTGAAAATGTAGCTTCATTTGCAAAATACATATGATTAGTTTTGTTATCAAAGTATGGTTTTAAATTCTGTTGCTTTAATGACTTAAGGATTCTTTTCAATAAAATAATTGCAGGTATTTTAACATCACTGCCATAAAATAAAAGATCTGGGATGATAAAATTAACCGTTTTCTTAGCATGCAAATATTTAAGGAAGGTGTAAGCATACATAAAAGTAAAATTAAAAGTTAACTATGCAGTGCATTTTCTGTAGTTATCTCCTGTTAATTAAAATTAACTCTGTGTCATTGTGATGCTGGTAATTTCAGCTTTAATTCAGTAAATTGACATATGTATGCAGGAACTAACACAGAGAAGTAAACTATTACATGCAAAATTACAGCAAACTATTACATGTAAAATTTTTGAAGAGTTATATGTGAATAATTTATGCAACAACATACATTTTTTGCATATTGTAGCAAAGAAATGAATTTCACTGGATAGATTGTAAACATTTTAAACATAAAAATAGTAAAAGTTGCTCATAAAGAAAGTGCTAGAGACTTGCCATAATCTGGCGCATGCATATGCGTTCTCTTCCGATATGTCAACAAATCGCCAAGAGCTGGTTATCCGAAAACTGTGGACTTTTTTAAACAGATCACCAAATTTGTCAAAACTTGGCAAATAGATTGCCAGGTTGCACTTAATAGGTAATTTTTATGTTTTCATATAAAAAACTGTCAAATTGCGCTAGAGTGGTTGTATAAATATTTAAGTTTTGTATTTAAATATTCTATAAACAATTTTCTTCAATTAATAACTAATAAATATTGAACAGCCCAATAAAATGTAATTTTTGATGTAAGAATAAATAAGCAAACATTTGATTGTGTTGGTATAAAACAGCTTTTACACATGGCCAATTATATATAATAAAATTTGTTACAAGATTTCATATTGCTAAACTTTCTATTTATCAGAACAACAAATTAGATTATTTTTACAAATGATCAACTGGAAGTCATAGTTTACTTCAAGTCTCAAACTCGAATTTCATGCGAGACAAATGCTCGGTGTGAAAACAGCTGACTGAAATAACTTCAGTGCCTTTATTGAATCTTAAAATTGGGTTGACTGAGTTGGATTTATTGAATCTTAAAATTTGCAATTTGCTAGGAAAGACGAATCATCTACAATAGTGCTTATAACAAATCTGCAAATTCTAAGTTAGCGAATCCATGTGCGACATGCATGATTAATTACATCAAACACTTCTAATAATTAACACAAAAACTTTAAAATTGGGGCACGACTGTAAAAAATCTATAGGTATTTAGAAATACAAGATTTGATAGTTGAGGAAAATTGAAAAATATACTAATTGTCATAAAAGATGAACAGAAAATAATTTAAATGTATAAATGCATTTTTTCCCCTTTCTTTTTGTTTATTTTCACAAATTTTAAAAAATGATATAAACAGAGTTGTAGCTAGGGTTTTCAGCACCCAGGGACAACTGAAGATTTCGTGCCCTCTACTGCTTGCCAAGGATGGAAAACATTTAATTCTAAAGTCGTAACATCAGTTTGGCGCCCCTTGGATTCTGTGCCTGGGGACAGATGCTCCCCTCTAGCTACACTCCTGGATATAAATCTAAAATTTTGTTACTTAGGGAAACTGGTATAAATTAAGTGTATAACAAATAAGTGTGAGAATGGTTTTGCATACAAAACTGAGACTGCAACACGTTTCAGCCAGTTTTAACCGGCTTCAGACGTTAAAACGCTCCATAATTATGATTTTCTCATTGTAAATCTGCTATTAAATAATTTGACATTTACAGCCCGAATATTGAAAATTATCATAATTAAGGACTTTGAATTTTTGCAATAATATTCGTACGAAATAATGATAAACAATCGATTCAAGGCTTTCATATGAATATAATAATCCGAATAGAATGTAAAAGATTATTACTATTCTAATTTATATTGAAAGCTGTTATACGACTTTGAAAAATCAATATTATAATTTATAAGGCAGACATGTTAAATAAATTGAAACTATTTAATGTCACAAAAAAGCAAATATAATGAGACTTTTCTAATGCAACCACTAACGTTTTGAAGCGATTTGGGCCACTTATATAGATGGTGGCTTTAGAGAGGTAATGTACAAAAGCCTGTTTATTTATGTTGTAGGAAACACTTTTAGAGTTCGTTATCATGAGATTCTCTGTACTTATACGTAAAACAGTTACAAAAAATATGGGTACTTTTCCGTTTCGCCGGCGCAAATCTCGCCAAGCAGACTTTATTGGCGACAACACAGAGCATACACATATAAAATGTTAACAAATGTTGGTTCTAAGAATTTTTTGTTTTGAGGGCATAAACATTTTAATATTGTTTAAATTTTATAAAAAGCCAATAAATAAAGACAATAAATTTGTAAAAAGTCATTAAGTTAAGAATTTACTATGCTTTCATGGTACAACATCCTGATTCACGTGACTCCAAGTGTTCTCATCTCACGTAAAACTACACTAAAAAAATCTAATTCTCTCAGTAATTATCTACATTATTTCAAGTTAAATCTTAATTTGGAATACAAGTTTAAATGCAAGAATTATTTCAGTTCGTACGAATAGCTTACTCAGAAATTATGTAAAACCGGAGTGCTTTATTTCGCTAGTGCATTCTCATTAGATTGATATTAGGACATAAAATTGGACTATCTGTTAAAAATTCTATGTAATTGTATGCCAGTATTTAAAGAAACAATGAATCTGATAAGAAATGGTTGCGACTTGTTTTGAAAATGGGGCGTAAAAGGCTAGCAGCGAGGGTATTCCCTTTGGCATCAGTTGTACCATTATTGGCGACTTTATCGCCTGCGCTGGCAAAACGGAAAAGTACCAAAATATGTCTTACTAAAACGATCAGATGTATTTAGGCTTCTAAAATGATGTCAAAAATTAAAAAAAAAAGAAAATCTATTAGAGCTGCTGAAATAGTTAATTTAAAGTAGTTAACACAGTTTATGATAAAATAAAACAATAAGTAAAGCATCACAAGCTTCAATATGAAAGTAGATTAGCATGATCATCAAAAATCAGATTATTTAGGTTATGTCAAAGTACCCTAAGATTATCTGCAGAGAGGATATGGATGCCTTTATGATAGACTCTTTTATAGTGTGGAGCTGATACAAAAATTATTTCATATGTCTGATAGAAACTGACTTGTATTTATGTTACACATGAAGAAAACCACGAAAATTTTCCTTGTAAGCAGCCCATCCGCCATGGTTTGAACGCCAGTCGAACTACCAATATTCAACGATTTTTGCCTCTTGGTTGCTAATGGTCAAAGGTCATAAAAGTTATTCTCTGAATTTCAGATTTATCCATCTGTGTTTTATTGCATGATTATTCATACTCAGATTTTTGGAAACTAGGAATAAATTAAAAATTGGAATTCCTCATAACCAAGTTAAATTTATTTAATTTTCCGTTCTGATAAGTTTTAGGATCTGAATAAGAAAAGCTTCCACATATGATTTATTTGGGGTGCAATTTAGAGAGTAAATTGAATAAGTTTCTTTAATTTGGTTTGAATTATAACAAAGCGCATGGAAGCTATCGGCCTAAGAGAAGAGTTGTCTTCGTGGAGGGCTTTCTAAGGAAAACCCGCTCGTAACCATGTTATATGGGGGAAAAAACCACAAAAAGCTGTTTTGCTAGGAATAGAACCTAGGTCTAACTACCAGTATTCAGCAACTTAACTGTTCGGCCACTTACAAGTTTCCTTAAGCTTTACACGTAATTGTAATAAATGTAACTAGTATGAGTAAAAAATCTTTATACGATATTCATCCATGTTTCTAGTTGATTTTTGATATTCTGTGGAGGTGATCACCTTAGAAAGATGATGATATTAAGATAG